TCAGATCCTCTCTGACATTCACACTGTCTCTGCTTCAGCTTGTTTCCTGCAGATTTATTGTGTACACACTTACGGAGGTGTTGAATATTTAAACTTAGCCGTCATGTCTTATGACAGATATCTTGCTATCTGTTATCCTCTGCAGTATAACACACGGATGACATCTACCAAGATTATCATGTTGATCACTGTATCATGGCTGCAGCCTTTTTTTGCATGTGTTGTCATGATATTTATGACTTCCTCTTTACAGCTGTGTGGGAACATCATTAACAAAGTTTACTGTGATACCCACTCTGTAGTCAAGCTGGCATGTGATGACACCAAAGTAAATAACATTTTTGGACTCATTGCCACATTTGGTACAATCTTTGGTGCGTTAATTTTAATTATTTACACTTACGTGAACATATTTAAAGTGTGTTTTTCTGGTTCTAAACAGACCAGACAGAAAGCTGTCAGTACCTGCACACCTCACCTTGCTTCCCTCCTGAACTTCTCTGTTGGAGCGAGCTTTGAAATATTACAGAGCAGGTTTGATATGAGCGGTGTGCCCAACATGTTGCGCATCTTTTTATCCTTATACTTTTTCACTTGCCCTCCACTCTTCAATCCTTTAATGTACGGCCTGAATCTGTCCAAAATCCGTGTCACATGTAAAAATCTGATTGCAAATATTCTCCGTCAAAGTTAAGTTGTCAAACAGATCAGCACGTCATCTCTGATGTAACAAGACCTGTAGTATGCTTATTTAGACACGTTCATTTTATTATAAAATGAAAAATAAAGTATATGAACTAATACTTTGATTTGAAATGTTTTGCTTTTGATGTTCACAATCCCAATGATAAATCTGTACAGAAACAGATTAAGAAATGAGTGAAATGTATTTAAAAGCAGAATAGATTGTGATCAACAAACAACGTGTGTAAGATATTTTGAGTCAGAGTGATGGTCCTTAAGTAGGTATTGATCACTGTCCAGCCTTTAGTCAAAATCAGTTATTTTAGATAATAATGATGCAAATGCTGCAGTTTGATACAGAAGTCAGAACTCCATCATAAATCAGTCAAACACACAGATCACAAGGTTATGAAACGCCTGAGAAGGACAGTTCTCTGTGGACTCAGAATAATGTTTGGCAACCTTCTTTCACACAGTGCACAAGATGGAAAATGATTGGGTCAAGTTACATTAGAGAGATGAATGAGTAAAGAGAAATATACATGTCTGTGGTAATGTCTGAGAAACTTTGATTAGAAACATGCACCACTCAGGCACAGTGTCAACTGACATGACACAACCTCAAAGTGGATTCTTCTTTTTCCCCCAGACCTTTGTGGCCGTGGGTCCTTGCATCAAATCCAAGTTTTAAGACCTTTATTATTTTAGTTTTGTGCCTCTGTGTTGCATCTACTACATAAATGTGTTTAATCAAATTACCGTCCAACAAATTTGGGCTGAGGCTATACCTCAGCATAGAAAAACTCTGCACACTGCACAGAGAGCAAGAGGAACTGGAGTTAATGAGACCCAGTAGCTGATTTCAGCGCTGATGCTCCATAACAGATAATACAGCCATGGTTAAAACTATAAACTAAAGGGTCGCCCCATAGTATGAAGTTAAATATGACACTTTCCAGTTCAACATATCAGTGCCTTGTTCATGTTCGGTGCTCATCTAAGCACAGCATCATTGTAGTTTACATTTTAGTGAGTGAGGTGTGTTTTCATGTCCATTAGATCTGTTGGCCATGAATACGGTTAATTGCTTCTAGCAAAGGGTTTTCTGGGAGGTGTCAGGCCTGTTTTTACCCAGATCTCTTTTCACTTTTGGAGTACAAATAAGTTTAAATGTGTAGTGCCAGCCTGTTCTCATTATGAAGTTCAGTGTCACATACTGGCCTCAAAACCCACCTTTTGCAGTGGTCTGATTTGTCGCCAGGCATAGTCACTTTGCAACATGGCCCTGGAGCCTCGTGTTCACCTCTAATGTAGAGCCAAATCATGATGGGGTTTTTTTTGTTTGCTTGTTTTTCATCGACCTAACCATGTGCTTTGTTGCCTAAATACAATCAAGTGCTTGAAGTGTTGATTTTGGTTGTAGCATCCCTGAATGTCAACAGCAGATGCAGGAGGATACTTGGCACCTACTATGTAATGTCAAAGTCCACTGACAAAGTGGCAATATGTGACGACGTGGGATGAGAACTCACTGGTAGTGCATAACGCCTGATGTTCCTTGCTACCACAAGCCTTACCGCTAACCTTTTTCACCTCTCCCCATGTTTTAATGCAGTGAGATTATCCAGGTTGAAAGGAACGTCTCGTCATTGGGACACTATATGTGATATGTATACATTCTGTAAGAAGTAATGCCTGACAAGATGTCCATGATCAGTTTTTAGTGGACACTCTGCAGCCAATCAGAACCAAGTATTCACCCAGACCATGGTAAAATATATGATAGTATATACACTGCTCAAAAAATAAAGGAAAAACCTAAATCACACATCCCAGATCTCGATGAATGAAATATTCCGATGAAAATCTTTATTGATTACATAGTGTAATTCGTTGAGAACAAAATAATGTAGGAACAATCCATGGAAACCAAAATCATTAACTCATTTGGGACTGGATTCAGAATCATACCCAAAATCAAAGTGGAAAAATCAGATCATCAGATCCAACTTTTGTGAATTTTCCCAGGACAACTCATAATGTGGCTCAGTAGTGTGTATGGCCTCCACGTGCCTGTATACATTCCCTACAACGTCTGGGCATGCTCCTGATGAGACCACGGATGTTCTCCTGGGGGATCTCCTCCCAGACCTGGATCAGGGCATCAGTCAGCTCCTGGACAGTCTGTGGTGCGATGTGGCAATGGTAGATGCTACGATACATGATGTCCCAAAGGTGCTCAATTGGATTCAGGTCTGGGGAACAGGCGGGCCAGTCAATAGCATCAATGCCTTTGTCATCCAGGAACTGCTGACACACTCCAGCCACATGAGGCCGGGCATTGTCATGCATCAGAAGGAACCCAGGGCCCACTGCACCTGGTCTGACAATCTCATCCCGGTACCTATCAGCAGTCAAAGTACTGACTTTAGTTGTTCTTTTATCTCAGACATGTTAGAATGTTACATACCTTGACATGTTTCGGCGTAAACTTCCGCCTTCCTCAGAAGTGTCACTTGGTGGTGGTTGTGACGCGTCTTTATAAGCTGATCAGTCAATCAGCTGATATTAGGGAGACGTGATCGTCCTGTCAGTTTTGACGTCCCTGTTCATCATCCCTGGGCCCCGCTTCCTTATTTACGCACGGTCACGCCTCCATTGTGACACGTCTTTATCAGCTGATCTGTCAATCAGCTGATAAAGACGTGTCACAACCACAGACTATAAAATAATGGACGTAGTCACCGTGACATCACCCATCCATTTCTGAAGAGTGGATTTGAAGCTCAAAATACTTCGCTCTGGACGTCGCCATCTTGGCAGTGCCTGACTCCGCCCAACTCCCGGACAATCAAAAATGGGCAAAGAGGCGGGCCGAAGGAAGCCTGGTTGCCTAAACATGCCCACCTCGCTCGGCCCTACTAAGTTAGCTAAGGCTAACAAGCTAGGCTAACAAGCTATGAGGCTAAGAAGCTACGCTTCTTTGGCTAGCCCTGTGGTGTTGTCTGCTCCCGCTTGGTGCCAGCTTCCCTGCAGCTCCCTCACGAAACTTGAGGTAAGTTGAGTTTAGCTGAAACTAACGTTATACAACAAACCTTGAAACAATGATTCAGCTGTTATCTTAAAAAAAAACAAAAAAAACGCTTCAACTTTTTTTTAAATATATAACGCTAATAATTTATTACACTCATTTTACTTTCATATGCACAGTGTGGATCATTGGTCACAGCTATGTCCGGCGTGGTGGCGTGGTCTGCAGAGACCTTGGGAATCACCCTCAGCATGCTGGGCGTCCGTGTCTGCTGGTTTGGCTGGGGTGGACTGCAGTGGAGAGGCCTTTTCTCCTTCTTTTCCCACTCCCTGCGAGGAAGAGCAGCACCAGATGTCCTCTTCATCCACTGTGGTGGCAATGACATGGGGAAGGTCAGCAGTGTCAAGCTGGTCAGCATGATGAAGGAGGACCTGCACCAGCTTCACCTCCAGCATCCTGGCATTAAGATAACATTTTCTTCATTGGCCCAAAGGTGCAGGTGGGAGGCTGGTGGCAATCCAGCAAAGATTGATAAGGCCAGGAAATGTGTTTACAGTGTTATGGCTGTGAGGGTCCAAAGGACACATTCATCTCACACCTAGGAGAAATTATATGTTTTTAAAGTAAATTAGTTAATTGTCTTAAACGCAGTGAACTGCTTACAGTTGGCTGTCACTGCTTTTGAATTTGGGCTTTAGGACACATTTTGTTAGGCCTGATCATAGCCCAGACTGTCATGGCTAATGTTGAGTTTTTGATATTCATCTATAACTTGTTTAAAGTTTCAATAAATTCTATTTATATTTGCACTCCTTTTGTCTTTGTTACTGACTGAATGTTGTATTTCACAATCAAATCTGACTGTCAATTGAAAGGACAAACAAATCATACACTACAGATAAAACATTAAGCATTAATGTTTAACATTGTCACTGACAAAAAATTAAGCAGTCCATTTCTGTGTGGGCCTGATTATTTTAACTTTGTATTTGAAGATAACTAAGCACCTTACACCCAGCAGCAGAGCCTGAGAAGATTTTGGAGAGTAACCTTTGTTTGCTGCTCTGTTAGAAGTCTAGTTGTAACACAAAAGAATGTGACTGGATAAAAGGGCTCAAAGTGAAAAACAAAGAATTAGCTGGACACAATAGTTTTGAAGCCCCCAAGGAGGTATCACTTGTTCACTATGTTGCCAACTCTGAGAGGGTCTTCCTCAGGCAAATGTATTGTGACGTCTTTATAGTGAGGCAAACAGAAAGATAATCAGCCAATTATGTGTTACGTTTTTTAGCCTCACTACACAATACCCACAGAACCTTCTCATATGTCACTACGTCACAAATAAATAATACCTCCTACGGGACTTAAAGGGACATTGTGTAATCAAAAAGGCAACGTGACCGGCGAATTAAACAAACAAGGGTCAGCATTGGGGTCGCCTTTCCCAGGTATAGAGAGCTGCTGAGGGAGAATGGTAATGCAATCACAGGCCAGCGCCGCTGTTGGCTGTTAGCTGCTGTTAGCTGCCAGTCGCTAACAGCCTCATCCCTCTCCTCGCATCACTGCACCGCTGTTAGCTGTTAGCCGCTGTTAGCCGCTGGCCTATGATTGTATTACCTTTCTCCTTCAGCAGCTCTCTCCACCTGGGAAAGGCAACCCCAATGCTGACCCTTGTTTTTTTAATTCGCCGGTCACATTGCCTTTTTGATTCCCTTTTGCACTTTCTTGGCGACGAGGATTCCGTCTCCCGTGATGCTGCATATGCATGATCCTGCATTATGCTCAAAGAGTGGGACTGTGTTATGCGGCAGTAGTGCTGCTAGCCACTAACAGCTGTTAGCGACGCAGTAATGCGAGGAGAGGGATGAGGTGTGTGAGGTTGAGCCACTTGTCAGTTGTCAAAGGACAAGACGTGATTGGTTTGTTTCAATTTACATCCGCCCCAACAGTCCTACGTTGTAAACACAGCCAGCATGGTG